CCCCAATCCCACCTTTACCCTGAACTGTGAAACACAGGTTGAATTCGCATATATATGTATAAATTCTTATGATCTGTGATCGGCGTCTTTTGTGTAGCAATTGGGCTTCATCTTGACGAGAGTCCGTTTCCCATGAGAAGAAGAATGTGTTTCCATCTTTCTGTTTGGATACACCCCTAACAGGCAGGGTCAAAGCATCCTGTCTCCCAAATGATCTAAATTGTGTTGATGGAAGCTTGAATAATTGCAGCCTACTCCTTGTGGTTACAATAGTTCTCGTCGGAGTAGTATTTTTGCCATGTTATTGAGACTTTTTGTCTTTTGCTGTTGTTGTTCGTGTCGGTTTTTAGAGATACTGTTATTGTCGTTATTTTAGCTGCTGTCACTGCTGTTCTCATGCAAGCTACGTAAGCAAAAAAAGCTACTTCCTCCTTTGTCAATTTCCCCATTTTCGTCCCCACAATATGATGATAGTCATCTTAAAACTCACTTGAAATGAAACACCCATCACCCTACAATACTCTTCTCACCAGTCCCATAATGATAACATCCCTCACGCCACATCATCTCACCTCACCTGTAATTAACACACCTAACACCACACAATAGATCTATCTACCTCCCATGTAATCAATACACACATTAAATCACACAATACCCATCCCCAAACGCATTTGTAATCAGATCATAAACTACCACAAAATGTATCCCACCTGTAATCAAAACGCGTGGCCTGTGGTCCATCTCGTTATAGAGACCATGGCTCTCCCTCCGGCCGGACACTGCAGCAGGCTGTCTGGTCAGCTGTTGCCGGAACCTGGGAGGAACAGCTGCGCGGGAGTAGAAACGACAGGCAGACACACCCAACTTGCTGGCCATCTTGATTGGTTAACGTTCCAGTAAGTTTGCTATAAATGTTGAAGGAAATTTAGGGGGAGTAGATATATAACTCTTTGGTTTCGGGTGATATTACGTTTTGGGGAGAATTGATATCGGTGAGATGGTTTTAGGCTTTTCCGCACCCTGGGATGACAATAAAGGTGTGGTGGAAGATAGATTTTTGGCGAATCGTTGAATTAGGTTTGCTGGGCTCGTAAATCCTGGAGGTGATGGTAGTGATGACAACTGACTGTACGCTGGTGGTGACCTGTTGATGAGAAGACAGGGGGAGATATCGTTAACATCGAAAAATAGCATTATGAGAAGCTGGTGCATGCCAACGAGCACGTGTGTTTGTTGTCTGAGTGCGCGCGCGCGCGCGCGCGTGTGTGTGTGTGTGTGCGTGTCTCTTTGTGTGTGTGTGTGTGTGTGTGTGTGTG